GGGGCCAGGGCCAGGGCGAGGACAGCTGCCGTCGCGGGGCCCCAGCGCTGGGGGGTGCCCTGCAGGAGCGCAACCTGCGGGAAATTTCCCTAATTCTCGGGGAAGGCCAGCCCTGAGCTCTGCGCCTCCGGGGTGTTCCTTTAAACACCCCAGAGCCGCAGCACATACAGTGCAACAACTGCAGCAGTTCTCCAGCAATTCAGAAAGGAAATGAACCTTTTTCTGCCTGCCTTTGAGGCTTGCACACACCCCTTTGGCACTACCTACAACAGGTACGCTCTGATGCTAGGAAAGACTACAGAGCAGGACAATTTTCCCCTCCATCCTTTGCCAATGCGCCAGGCAGGGCCCGCCCTGAGCACCCACCGCCTGACACCAGCCCCCAAGTGGAGCGGGAGCGCGGGGCAGGCCATGTCCCAGAGCTGCTGCCTCCGCTCAGCGCACAGCAGGGACTTGCTTTCCACCTCACCAGCCCGAGAGAAGTTTGTCACAAAACAGGCAAATCAAAAACGTGATGCACAAAGAGCCTAGTGAATTTGGTGCAGAGCGGTGCCAGCCTGGCGGGAAGAGCACAAACAAGCCCAAGTGCTTCCCATCCCTGTCCAGGAAGCAGAAAAGCTTCTGGATGACAGAGAGAAAAATATAGTACTCAGTAAGGTGGCTGCCTCTCGCACTGCAGGAAAAGTCAAACAAGCTGGATGCTTGTGACTTCAGGAAGAAGGCCAATAAGGAGGCATCACAACAACAACATTTCTGCTCAGAACTGTATAGCTAACCACGTACTTGCCAAAATCCAATGTATGCTATGCGATAGTTTGGTCTTATTTTATACAAATGTAATATATGAAGCAAGTTAGCAGCTGCAAGAGTTTGGTACGGCCCAAAGTAGCATACTGAGAAACACCTGAGACGTAACAGAGATAATTGCAAGTATTTATCTGGGCACATCAACTCTCTACACCAAAAGCCGTTCCACCTGCGCGCGATCACTGCTGCCCTGCAGCTGGAGACACGAAGATGCTCTGGTGTTGTTATGGGCACAGGCAGGTTTCCGAATGCTCCGGAAACTTGGCGCTCCCAGCACGGAGCAGGGGCAGGGCCTGGCACAGGGCACGAACTCCCCCGACGGGCGGCCAGGGCCAGGCCGCTGCTCAGCCCAGGACCAGCCCGGGCTCCCAGAGCAGCCGGGACCGCTCGGCCACCCAGCGCCTTCCCCTAGCTACCCCGTCCCGCTCGGCCGCTCAGGCTAGGAACCTGCGTCACAGACCAACGCGCCACTGGACCCCGACCCAAGCAGGTTATTTAGTCTCTGCTCTTCTGAAAGTAAAAGCAGTAACGACACCACTGTGCTTTAAAGGTGTTCTGTAGCTCCCTGGCAGGCAGCTGCAATGCAACGGTGACTAGCAAAGCTCCTGCCAAGCCTTCCTTCCGGCAGCAATCTCTGTGGCCCAGGGCTGCAAAACATCTCCGATGTTGAAAAACCGCTGCTGTGTGCAATGCAGAGGATGCCAAACTCATCCCACGTATCGCGTGTGAATGGATCTAAGTCAAAGCCAGCTGAGCAGGAAGACTATGTTAGAATGAAATGACCCTGCTAATAATAAAAAGCTTCACATTTTTCAACAAACCTACATCAAACATTGAAGAAAGCAATCATATTTTATATTACAAATGGCAAAAATTTTGAAAGAATTGGCAGGGAGGGGAAAAGGAGATTTCCCCTGTAGGGCATATTTCATTGATATTGTTCCTTTCAACCCGAACTTTTGATATTACACTTGAGCATCACTTTCCATTAGAGAAAGCTCAAATGTTTGTGCATGATAATATTTAGAAGAGCTCCCTAGCCCCTGGACATGACAGAGGATATTGTATGCCAGCTACAAGATCACATGGATCATCACAAGTGCATACATTTAAAACCTAGAACTTAAGTATCTTCATTTTATATGTATATATGCATAAGTCTATCAGTGTAATCTCAGCAATTTCATATTTTGAAGTATACTAGTAACTGCATTTTACTGAATCTTTTATGAGCATACATTGTGCATATGCATCACAAACACACGTGTATATATATGTATTATATGAAGCCATTTTGTTTTACTGTGATCCAGGGAGCACTTTTGTACTGAAAACAGTATCCCATTTCCTGGCATTTGTGAAACGATGCAAAAAATAAAAGAAAAAAGCTTTTAGATCTGAGTGCCAGACATCTGAAAGCACCTACTAGCAAAAAGCAACCTTGGTGATACCTAACATCATATTTCCACTTCCTTTCTTTATATACAAAAGCCTCATTCTTATACCAATTTCCCCTTATTTCCACAAGAAACAAACTTATCTTCTTAACAATAAAATGATGCTAAGCACAAGGGGGGGAAAAAAAAAAAAGAAACAGACACTGACACACCAGCTTCTTAAATCCCATCCTTTCCTTTCAGTAAACAGAATAAACCTTACAGTATCTTTTGAAGTGCCCAGTTTCTTGAGCCCGTCCAGAGGGAGGAGATCTGCGGAGTCCTTGTGAATGAACTGCACCGCCTGCTTCATCCTCCTCTGCTGCCGGAGGGACGCGGCTTCCCGGAGCTCCACTTCTTTCCTGCTCGGCTCTGTCAGGACACCCGAATAAAACATCTCTCTGTCTGCGTCTGCCTCGCCCTTCTCGAGGATGCACCTCCAGGAGAGGAACGAGCAGCGAAACGCTCTGTCGCCTGCGCTTTATAGCTAGCGCCTGGTGACGCGCCGAGAGCAGCAGGTGCTCCAGGCAGCGCCGCGCGGGGAAGGAGGGCTGAGGCGCGCTGCAGTACGTTGCACGGACACCGCGGGCGAGCTCGGGCTCCGTCGCGGGGAATAATCAGCGCTGCTCCTCCTTGCTGGCTCTTCGGAAAGAGCGGTCAGCCGCGGGCACCTCCTGCACTGCTCGCTGCTCTCTGACTCACAGCAGCAAAGGGCCGTTTTGCATCAGGAGGCTCCTGCAAGAGAAACCAGTTTGTTTTACGTAGACCTGATCCAAAAAGAGGCAGGCAGGCATGCAGACTTCAAACACGCTGGTGGCTCCCCTAAAACTCCCGACAGCCTCACCAACACCAAAGAGACCTTGTGCTCTCGTGGGGCAGTCGGACAGGATGCACAAGCCGCGCTGTCCAGGCGCAGCCCGGAGCGCCGGTGCAGCTCACAACCAGCCGGTCACAGCGGCCAGCCCTTCGCAGCGTACAGCGATCGTCCTGCGCACGTATTGACCCCCGGGCTGCGGACGCAGGATGGCCAGCCACACGGCCCTGCGGCTGGACGACCACCCCGCACAGGCCCCAGGACCTTACGCCAGTGCTGGAGCCGGGCAGCACGGCTCTCCCTGAGCGCCACAGAGGCCCATCTCTGCTCTTGCCCTCTGCTCTGGTTCCCCGCAGGGCTCGTGGCGCCCGGGGGCTGCCTTCAGGACAACAGCAGGTTTTCACATGCTGCATCTTTCACCAAAGAGAAACAGCTTTTGTTGTCAGAAGGACACAAACACTTGGAATGCCCTAGCTCAGCCAGCAGATTAAGTTATTCATATGAACCCTTTGATTTTCAAGCAATCTGTTGCAAAGTAGAGATAGAGGAGAAAATACCATTCCCTGTCTGTGTAGGTCTGGAAACACCTCCAGGAAAGCAGGGCTTAGCCCTGAATGGATGTGATGCCCGACTTCTGGGGCACATCCAGCCTTCAGGAGGAGCGGGGCTCCCTCACGCTGCCTTCGCTCTCTCCGCTGACGCAGCCCACGCTCACGCTTTCTGCTCGCGAAGACGTCACCAGGGCTCGGCCAGCTTCAGAAAAACAGTCCTGTCTCTGGGAGCCTAGCAAGGGGAAGGGATGGGGGAGCCAGGGAAAAACACTTCAGAAAGAGACCAACGTTAAGGTGGGTGAGAACGAGAAAAAAAACCAGCCCCTTCTGAAAACAGCAAAGGAAAGACGTTCCTTTTTCCTCTGGTAGGAATTGAGCTATATCAAAGCACTAAATACACGCAAGTAATGAAAACGCCAAACAGGTAGAGTGGCTTTAAATCACAGACCACAAACTCTCCCTCCTCTGGAGCTGCCGAGCAGGGATGGGCCGGATCCAGCCCTGTGCCCAGGCTCAGCCAGCCCAGCTCTCGCACCCTCACCCTCCCCGCCGGGCCTGTCGTGGCGGCGCAGGACCAACCACCTACTGCCGCATCTCGGACGTCGAGCTCAGTCGATATGCGGGTGTCAGAGGAGCCCGTGGCAGGAGGATCCCTGAGAGCAGCGCCCAGAGCCCGCGGGGAGGCCACGGAGGCAGCGTGCTGCGTGGAGGCTTTCAGAGCCAAGCTGGCACCCCGGCCGCAGCCACGCGCTCAGCCCCTCTGCACATGGCCTTGGAGAGAGAGGCAAAATCAGAGAAGAGCAGGACAGACAATAACATGCAAGCCTGTTGTTTCACAGCCGTGCGAAAGGCTGTTGTGCAGGAGCCAGCTCGCGCGCGCAGTGAACCCGTGTCTGCAGAGCAATAATGAGGCCAACAGCTTGAACAGGGATGTGGTTTTTCCTCCCTGCGCTGACTTGGCTCATTATGCAGCAGGGCTGTTGTTCCACTACAAGCAAACATGCCCCAGAGGATAAAAGCACCTTATTTTTCACCTTGGGAACTATTTGGCACTTATCCACCTGATTAAATAAAGATGTATGACTGCATCCGTGCTCTCCCAAAGACAAGGGAGAAGAGCAAAAGAAAACAGAAGGACTTCTACTGAAGCCAGGAGATAATTTTTAATACAAAAGCTCCATGGCAGAGCGGCATCCTGTCTGGCATACGAGTGAACGCGTAGCCAGCTATCAGAGTAAAGCTTCAAGAGCAGGTGCAGCATTAAAAGAGCTCCTCATACTACAGCGCCAAGATGCAGCCTACGTTTTAATTTAGCAAATACGTATTTTATCAGTCTTGCAATTGCACTTCCACCATATGTTATAAATACACCTTATGCCAACAGATAAGAAGAAAATCTGCCCAGTGCTTTAGAGTATTATATGAGATAAAGATCCTAACTCCCATCTTGATTATTAATTGTGGGAAGGAGGAAAGGAGGAGGAGCAGTAAATCATCTGCTCAAATTTTTCAGGATCCACAATAAAGCACCAGTTCCATTTGGATACTTTGAACACACTAGTTAACCTGCAAGTTGGTTATTTGCTCGCAACAGATTAGCCAGGGATATTGCTCCCTCCCAGCGTGGTGTGCCTAAATCAGAGCACGCTTCAGAAAACCTCTCATCCTGCTCACTGGAGACAGGTATGTTCCTGGCCGACACCTCTCGCTCCAGAAAAGCCCCAATGGACAAGAAAATCTTCCTCTTTCCAGACTCCAAGGCAGCACGCACGTTTTCTCTGCACAGTATAACATCAAGGCTGATGTCAACAGGAAGACTCAAAAGGCCGGATTTGAGAAAATTCCTCTAATTTGGAGGGCGCTGGCCCTGCCTTCCACAACAGACTCGCTTTGCTGGAAAGCCAAGATACTCACTGCTGCGGGCACGGACAGAGGCACATGCTGGAGACAGCATGTGCTGGGGCCTGAGGACCGCTGGCTGCAGAGCCTGCAAGCTGAGCTGCCGTGTGCGGGGAGGAGGGAGAAGCACTGGGCTCTCCACGGGGCCCCAGGCATCTGCTGGCCCAGCAGAGCTGAGAACGGGGCACTTTTACCTCAGTTTCCAAACCCCCCTGCAGGATCAGACCCAAGGAAGAAGCACTCTCCTGGAGCTTCTCGACTGCCCTTGCCACCGCGGCTGGAGGATGTGGGAAGGCAGCGCCGGCCGCGGGAACGATCCTCTTTGCAGGGAGGGCACCAGCCGTGCAGCTCCCCGCAGCTCATCTGCCGCCTGCCGCAGGGGACGGACCTGTGTCCTGCCTGGATGCAGGATCCACATTGCCTGCGGCGGGGAAGGAGCGCGGCAAACCCCCACAAATTT